AATTCCAGATCTCCTGGCTGCCTGCAGATAGACTCAACTAGATTTCTGCATTTAGCAGCTGTGTGGAAGATGAATAGTGACGAGGTAATGAATCTGATTGTGGTCAAACAATGTCATATGAGATGTTGAAAAGTACATCATCAGTCGCTGATGATGTGCTGACCATTTTAGAACCTTGAAACAGATAAATATAATGTTATGTTCGATAATTTCACAGTAAAGACACGTATAGATCGCAGCAGGAAGCTGCTCCATAGCCTGAATATCAACCCTGCACTATTTGCATGAATATACAGTCGCTTAGGAAAATTAAGTCGCATCGACGTCCGTCTTTCTAACGAATGGGGAAAAGGGGAAACTATGTATGCCGTAAAGCAGAGGTTTTTAAAGTTTTTCAGGCCAAGGACCCCCAGGCTGATGTCGAGATGAAGCGGGGACCTAATTATATATATTGAATGAAATTTTGTTCTATCAAACTGCTCCTATAGTTATTATATTACAGATGGAGTAATGTAAGGAAAGTAATTTCTCCCTGGGATTATTAAAGTATTTCTGATTCCTGGTTGATGGGACAGGTGTTGTGAATGAAACGGTGTCCAGCTTGAAAGAGTGTGTGTCGCTGAATGTGTAAATTGATGACTGAAAGACATCTTCTGCCTCCATTTATCTGTTTACTACAGTGTGATGAATTCATGTTAATGTGAATTTAAAGACATTTCAATAAGTGGAAAAATTTCAGGGGGGAATATAAAAAAAAAAAAAAACAGTCTAATCAACCAAAACTTTCACGTCCCCCATGCAGTACCTCTGTGGTCCCCTAGGGGTCGCGGACCCCCTGTTGAAGACCTCCACAGTAAAGCTTTCTGCAAATATTTATTTGTTTTGTTTGGCAGGGTTACTGACACCCTCCTCAAAGTTTTTTAGTGCAGGTGAAAGCGATACAGACGCGTTATTCAACTACTAGTAAGTCTTTGTATAATAACAAAAATTAAGAAAATATTTTATGAAGGTTAAAAAGTTAGTAAGTGTTGGTTTAATGTTACATAGATACATTCACAGAGTAGTAGCTACCAGGCTAAATTACCACTGCAGCGGGCCGCTATCTACGAGCCTTTATATTTTAGGTAGTAAAAACAAAGTTAGAATAAAAACACTGGATAGTTAACAAAACAACAAACAAAACATTTAAATTCAGAAATGTGGGCCTCTTTAGGTTATTGTAAAATAAAAATGTTAATCTGACAAACAGAATCTATATTCTGATATATTGATGGCTGAACTTTTTCCAGGTCTATTACATTAAAAAGCAAACAAGTACATGAAAATATATGATTAGAAATTCTGAAATGTTGACGTTTTAAAAGGTAGATGATTTTGCAAATGCAATTCAGGAATAAAACAATAAAACCATTATGAGTAACAGATAAACTTTCATAACTTCAACGTAAAAGAATGCTGATTTTATGACCTTGAGTTTTTTAATGCGGAGCTCAATCATCTGGAAGTCTGTGCTGACGTCCAGCTTCTGCTGCTGCTCCAGCTCTTCCTCCGTTCCACCCAGCCACGTCCAAATATTGTTCAGGTCAGAGTTCAGCTGGTGCCACTGTTGCTGGTTTTGCTTTGAGCGCATCTCTTTACTGAGATCCTGAGCCTGCAGGAGCTCCCAGCGCTCAATCACACCTAGATCGTAAGATACAACAGAAATAGAGCTTCAATAAAAGAAATTAGCAGGGCTAATTGTTTATTTTCTATCCATTACTTGCTTTGTGCAGCATAGCTTGTTTATGTATAGGGTTTACAATTATAGTTTTGTGGCCAAAGGAAGAAAAGAAGCAGCTTAATACCTGATGTCTGGGACTCTGAACTGCTAGGATCTGCCAGTCCAGATATTGTATCGTCTTCGTCTTTCAGCTCAGAGCCCATCCTCTTCACTGTGTCAATGCTGCCACGACACTCACCCAACAGTCGCATCTTAACAACAAACAAGACAATTATTCTTATTGCCACATTGCCAGACAGGACACTGTTATAAAAAACAAAACAAAAAAACAACAACAAACAAACCCACTTACTTCAACTTAAACACCAACTTTTTTATTAACACTGGTATTTATTAAATGAAAACATGGAAAGTATGAAATGCTTGATTATAGATTTGTCCTATTTGGTGTTTACATATAAGTTATAATAGGTTTTGCCATATTCTTACTTGGTGTTTGCTCTGACATTTGATTGAGACATGCCTTTGATTTATTAACATTTGCTTTTGCTCTGATCTAAACCAGTTGTTCTCAAAAAGTGGGACATGAAGGGACATGTTTTTTTTCAGCAGGTGTTACTGCTAAATAGGGACCTTGTTGATAAATCCTACTAAATGGGACAACAGCACCACCTGCTGGTTAATCTGTGCCTTGAGTCATTATTTTTTACCCTTTGTTTGGACTGCAAGGATGTAATTTAAGTCTTTTAGACTGTTGTTAGTTTTATTTTAAGACATGTTAATAAATTCCATTTGTCAGAAAAATGTTGTTTCAACATTATTTTAAAAGGGACTGTAAAGTATTTGGTTATCTTAAAAGTTTTGTCTCTAATGCATTTGACAATTTTGTCGCAATATGGAAGGCCTAAACTTTTTCATTGTCCAAAAAAGGGGAAGAACAGAAAATATTTGAGAAAGGCTAGAATAGCAGAAAAAAAAAAAGCTTTAAGTAACATCTGCTTTACTGCAACTCTACTCACACAAGTGCGTTGATACCGTGTAGAATTCACATTGCACTACACATTATTAATCTGGGAGGCAATTCTTCAAGCTGATTGGTTACCTGTCTTCCATGCTGAGCTTTTAGCCAATCACAGCCACAGCAGGAGCTGAGACGTTTCTCATTCTGGATTTGTTTCATGGAGTTAACTACCAAATCTGATCAGGAGGAACCAGAAATATCTTCCCATCCACAAAGGCACAAATCATGATCTTTTGCCTGTTTTTCAACAAGAAATAGAGGCTATTCCAGTTAATGTTTTGCTTTGCTTTGCCCTTACGCCTCTGTGGTAACGTCATACATGTCACTGCCTTTAATTGGTGTGAAACATTTCTGTATGGAGGCCAAATGCATCTGCAGGCTTCTGACAAGTTGTATTTTTGGGAGATTGTGAATTCACAACTCTTGCAACAAGGGCTCTAAATATATATTTAATTTGGAAACATCTGTAAACCTTGTGCAATTTTCCTTTCCCCGTTGCAATTATGAGCCAATTTGTGGTGCATAAACCATACAAAGGTTTGCCACTGTAGTGTGACATGAAATAAAAATGAAAAAACAAAACAACTTTTGCAAGACATCCTAGTAGGAAAGAAATGAATCATGAATATATCATGAGGATTTCGCTGTGAGGGTGAACATACATAGCCCATATATGAGGCATCTGTTTCGGTGCTTAAAGGAGTTCGGCTGCGACTGCTGTCCGTTTGCTGCAGGTGGGAGCGACTCGCATCAAGGGGATGCATATGGGAATCTGCTGAGGCAGCCTCTCCTGTTGACACAAAAAGAACCAATCACCTTCAGGTACAATGCTAGGTATCAATAAAGATGGTGATTTGTGATTTTAGTCCAAGAGAAGTTGGACCTGCTTTTACAGAGAAAAACTAGATAACGTGTAAGATGAGAAGTTAGGAGAGCAGATTGGTTTTCCAAATATTATGGTGCCTCTTAGCCAGAACTCTTCCCTGGCTCTCAGGGCGAGAGTGAATTTAAAAGCACAAACAAATCTGCTATCCCTTCAAAAGAAAAAAGAATTTGCTCACTGTGACAAAAGCCTCTCAAAACACATGCTGTTCTAAAACAAGGAAACACACAAAAAGAATCCAAACATGTTAGCTACCCAGCAACACTGCAGGTAAAATGAAGACAGCGAGTTAGAAAGAGGATTTAGGCTGAATTCCATTTCTGTTCTTTGAAAAAGTGGCCAAAGCGAGAGCAGGAAATTAAGAGAAAATGGAGTTCAACCTACACCACCATGTTAGAAAGTGCTGCTATTGGTTATAGCTCAAAGTGTGCATAAGTGAATCCAACACAAATCAACCAAGCTGGTGAAAGGGCCCCAGGAAAGCCATCCGTGGTTATTTCTGGACCCAAACAAATGCATTATACTTAATTCTGCTGTTGCCTACCAGTGGAGGACCTCAGTGTTTGTTCTGTTAGTTTAACAAAGGCCTCAGGGCTCTCTGGAATCACTACATCTGGAAGAAACATTGTACAGTACAGACATTTAGCACTGGCCTTCACAGCATGGTACCAAATGAACAAATGGGGCCAGAATTCATGTGGTAATAACCTCAGTTATGCAGAATAATGCAGAAGGTGTTTGCTGAACGGGTGACGGTTACAGGAGAGCATTGTTGTGCAATGATGCGTCAACAAATCTCTGGTTTCTGACCAGAATCAGGCAACTTTCAGTTTGTTGGGCTCCAATTATCCAAATGTGTTTAAAAGGAAACCATGAAAATCTCAATCAGCCACAGACTTCCAGTAGATAACAGGAAGGCTGTTTAGTTAAGCTGTTCAGTGTTAAACCATTTGAGTTTCCAACCTCTGTCTATTCTGAAATAACTAGATCTGGAAATGCTAAGAGTTTCTTTTGGAAACGTCTGAGTTATCATCTTTAAAGGCACACTATGCAACATTTTTCAGTTAATTAATGTGTTCCATAACGTT